GCACTGCCATTACTTCAGAAATGATTGACCATTCGATTTTTACTGCAAGGAAAGATGCAAGAAAAAGGATGTATGAGAGAAACTCCTTGGTTGTAGTGATAAAAAAAAACATGCATAAAAAGAAAGAAAAAAGTAAAATGAAAAGGGAGAAGACGATAGCTCTTGTCATGCATTTAATGTCTTCTTCACTGAAATGGAAAACCTTGTCAATTTCAAATCTTTTTATTTGTACCCTCTTACTTCTTTAAATGATGTTCTATATTCATACTTATGACTGTTATTACAATATTTTATTAAAGTTGTTAAGCTCAAATATTTAACAATGAAATAGGAAATTTCCACGTGTGTAGTCGTGGAATTCGCAATTTTTCATTAAATTAAGAATTATGATTCATCAGAAAATTCTAATAACCAAAATGTTCATGGGCACTGCCAGTTATTATTATTATTATTATCATTATTATTATTATTATTATTATTATTATTATTAATTTCTTTGATTTCTGTTGTATACACATGTCCATCCAGGTCCCAACCAGAATTCTAAGGTTAGAAATGGCTTCATGACATTTTCCACTGATCATTATTGTAAAATAAAAATAAAACCTAAGACCACTCATATTTAATAATAATAATAATAATAATAATAATAATAATAATAATAATAATAATTGGGAACATGATTGAAAAAGTTCTTTAGTCATTTATTAATGGAACTGATCTGGGATTAATTCTAAAGTGATTTCGAGTGACTTGATAATCCAATTCAGTAACATTATCGAAGTATGTACTAAGCCTTCCTACATATCTATCACATAACCATCTGATTTAAGAGCAAATCTAGTTGATAATCGAATTACTTTAAAGCGAGTGGACGAAGAACTTTGCAAATATAAATTTATAATCAAGAAAAGGAAGGCAAACATGTTCTCAAAATTTGTGCAAAGCTGTTAACATAGGCAAAAACAAAAAAAAATAGTCACCGAGTCGCCTATTTGAGTCTAGTTCTTTTTTTTTACATTAAATTATGTAATTTTGTTCATAATAAATACATCGAGTCCTTGGCTGCTCGTTTTCAAATCGCTATGTAGCAGCATTGAACGGGTTTCGAAGAGAAAGGAGGGAGCATAAATCAAAGAATTCCTATGAAACAGCAAGCATTTCAGTGAGTCACAGAGAGACAGAAGACGACGCTATGGGAAAGAAAATTAAATGAAAATGACTCTATGAAACTCGAGAGTAACGTTATGGAAACGAAAACTCTAATAATTTTAAAAGCTTTTAGAATGTTCAATTTCATACATCATTGGAGAGTCAGTTGACTCGTAGCTTTGGGGCACAGATACGATTTAAGAAAAGGTTTATAAATGTACATATGAATACCGAGTAGAATTGACTCAAGAAAAAAAAAGACAATAAAGAGAATATATAGATGTTTATAACGTGTAAGTAGATAATACGTATGTATGCGTGTGTGTGTACACCTAGGTAAGTCAATATTTTTGCGTAGAATGAAAACTTTTTCAGCAGTAGACTATTACAGGTGAAAAAGTTTTCACTTTACACAAATAATGTTTGTATTTTGAGGTAATCCCCTTCCTTGTCAATGCATTTAGCTCAATTGAGGCCAACGTTTCTCAAAAATCACATCGATTATACAGTGGGAATTTCAGATCAAAATTCCAATAATCACTTAGACTATGAACTTAGACATACTAAAAGAGAAAATAAAGAGCCCACGTTTCACATACTAATATAAAAATTGTTCAAAATAGCATAGAAATTCAAAGTGACCGTGGTCTTCAAATCCACCTTGTGCGCTGTCTAAGCAGAACTCGAGAGTAGATAAAAGTCCTGACAAGCTTTTCCTTTCTAAGGCAAGACAGCAGTGTTGGTATAAATCCTGCTAAGTTTCTTTTTTAAGCAAGGGTAACGCATCTATCGTTTTGTTTTAGCCTTCAAAATATGGCGGTTACTATGTGGCTGGTACCACTTGAATTATAAAATCCCTATAAGTATTTAACTCCGCTCGAACTGGCCCCAAGACAGCAAAATTGCAATGATTATTGTAATGAAACCCTTAAAAATAAGTGTGAATCAGATAAATCCTGCAATTTTCCGAAAAGAGAATTTAAGGGTTACTCTCAACCAACACAACTAATTTTTGCACTGGGCTCTGAAGAAAGGTTGTATGTGCCAAGTGTTCACCTCTCCCTCCCAAACTACTCTGTCCTAATTGTAATTTTGATTTTCCCGCAAGGTTTTCTTCATCTTCAGTTTCTACTTATTTATGTACATTGTCTTCTTTGACAATTACTACATCTAACACTTGCACATTTCTTTTTGGAGTATGCCATTTTTGTCTTAGGATAATATTAAAAAGATATTCCTTACGCCATCTGTTCCAGAAATTTTCTGTCAAATATTGTACTTTTCGCCACCTTTTCCTTGCATACGGATCTTCACAAACAAATTTTCCAGGAGGTGGAAGAGATATAGATGACTTTATAGTGTTAAAGTGATTTGGTGTCAATGGTTCAACATTCTTTGGGTCATTTATTGTCGTTATAGTTAATGGACGGCTATTCACAATAGAGGAATGTTCTCAGTGAAGTCAAGTCTTCCTACATCGAGGGTTAAAACCGAATTCATTACGCTTCTGGCTGTTCTGATTTGGCGTTCCCCCACGTCACCCATATTACTTGCTTCAGGAACATTCATCGGGAAGTCACATGTTTTTTTTTCAGCAAGGACGTTGTAAATCCTGTCTTTATTTAGTTCCATCAAACCCTTCTTCAGCTCATTCTTAGCACCCACGAAGTTGGTACCTTGGTCAGACCGAATCTGTCTCACAAGTCCTCTTATTGTTAAAAATATCTCAAAATATTCAAGAACGTGTCAGTTGAAAGATCCTCTAACATTTCCAAGTGGATAGCTCTGGAGCTTAAACAAGTAAATAACTGGCCATATCTTTTGAATTCCTTCCGACCCTGTTTTGTGTAGAACGGACCAAAGACAGTGTATGGGGAGAGGGATCAACTCGCTCAGAGGGTAGATCTACTATACGCTGCTCTTCAGATAGACCCCGGGTCTTTCTGCATATAACACAAGATTTGATGTGTTTTGCCACAGCCTTACTTACTTATTCAGTATCTAATCTAAGAATGTCCACAGTTAATCTACGGCTTTGTTGTTGTACCTCTCGATGGCCGTAGTCAATTATTAAATGAGTTACAACACCTTTAGGAAGAATTACTCGGTATTTTTAGTTCAAAGGGTACAGAGGACCTTTTCAACCGCCCTCCTACGCTAAGTAATCCTTCTTCAAAAATAAGATCAAGTTTGATAGAAAGGGTGAAATTTTGGCAATTTCGTGGGAATTTTATTAAACCACCCCATTCTTCTTGAAAGGCTTCACGTTAAGTTAGCTTGATAAGTGTGAGAGCTGACAATTTCCTTTCTTCCATGCTGATAGGTTTGGATTGATTTCAGTTTGCTAGTCGTTTTATTCTAGCGATGATTCTGAGAGAAGTAATCCAATTAGAGAATCTTGATAACCTTTTAAGAAATTTTTCTTTCTCATCTGTTTTTAAGACTTCCACTTTAGGGTCTCCAACAAGAAGCCCTGAGTTGCCTTCAGCTGGAACAATTTACCATTTCCATAAGAATGTAGGTCCTGTGAGCCAATTTGACTTGATTAAGTCTGCCACCTTGAGTCCTCTAAATGCAAGCTCAGCAGGATTTAGTCCAGTGTCAATGTAAAACGACATCGATGAGTTCCAGCCGTGTTACTGTGACAACCTTGGTGGGTGCCAATAAGATGAGGGCGGACACTGAAAAGAAGAGGCATTTTCCCGTGTCCTTCATCATTGCAGTATGTTTTATCGTTCAGGAAAAACTGAATACCCTCCTGAGATATGTCCTTTTCGTTTGGGTTTGTTTAAAAAAATCCATTTCCAATGCCTTCATTACAGCAGATGGTGTGATAGAAGGAAGTTCCTTTACCAAAATTCTATGACAAAACTCTGTTATATTTCTTGAGTTTGTCAAGTGCTTTGTCCGTTCCACTATGATCCAGCTTAACGCAGTTCTTACTGCAAAGAGGTCATTTGTTTTCCTCTAGATATCACCTTTGTAGCTTGTAGGGCCCTTAAACGGTACAGAGCAGTTTAACAAGTTTAGCATTTCTGCTGGTATGCTATGCAAGTGATCCCAAGTTTGTTGCAGTTTTTACAATTGGAATGGTATCCTTCTCCACAGGGATGTAATCTCATGTGTGTGCTGGTGGTAGCTCAAAGTATCCTTGCGAGAAGTAGCTATATTTTTTAGTTCCACTGCTCTCTTAATAGTTTAATATCGAGCCTCTATCAGTTATTGTTGCTAATTTCAACTTGATGGTTTCTGTGTTTGTTGGGAGCCTTTGACAAACATCCTGGTCAATAAATGTGTTTCTGCTTTGCGTATTTAGCATCCACCAATATTTCTGAACTGTTTCTTTCAGTGCTAGAAAAGCCACATTGGGACAATCATTGAAGTGGGAGTGTAGCGGCCTGTCTTCTTCTTGCACAGAACGGAAGATTCAGTTTCTTCCTGCTCTAGTGCTTGTGGATTTTCTCTCTGTGCTTTGTCCTCATGAAGAGGAGATGGGTGTCCATTCCTGCAAAGGTGGCAAGAGATGTTCTTTTTGTAGTCTTTTAAAAAGTGGCCTACCCTAAAGCAACCAAAGCACATATTATTTTCCATAATGAATTTCTTCCTTTCAGACAAGTTATTTAAATGCCAGAAAATATTTTTACTTTGTAAGAATCATTTGGAAATAATAATGATTTATTGATACAAGTCCTACTAATTAACCCGTAGCTGGGGGGAGAAGAAGTGGATTCGTCCCTCTCCCAAGGGAATTTACGCGTTAATATAAGGAACCTGACTGGAATTGGAAATCGAATTTCGGATTTCCAATTTCAAACCGTTATCCATTTCACCTTCCGCATATCCAAACGTACAGCAACTGGTATTCCGAAGCGGTTACCCATCTTAGGTACTTACCAGGCTAGATGTTGCTTAACTTCGGTGATCGTACGAGAACGGGTATTTCAACCTGACGTGGAGTTAAGCCCCGAGTGCATTCTCTTGTACTAAACAAAAACGTTGACTTTTTCGAAATAATTTCATTTTCATTTAAACTTCTATTTCTAAAAACAGTGAATGTGTCGCAAAAAATTCTTAATCAATAAAGAGATCAATAAAGAGATCAAGTTTCAACTTGTTGTCCATGAAGTTTTCGCTGATTTCTCATTCATTCCCTCTGACAGAAATTGATTGATTTTATATCACTTCATGCACATCGATGCATGTGTGTGTATATATAAGGGTCTGTAATTTCGAATATTGTTAGAATGGAGATCTAACCACTATAACATTTTATATAACATCGTAAACATTGTTACTTGATATAAAAGTGAGTGAAATTCTAAAATACGATGCTAACGAGATTTTTAGCTGATAAAGAAGCTGATGAACATTTTAGGAGAAATTAGTGTCACTCTTTTCAGCTGGTTTCAAAGTTTAATTACAGACTAAATGTTTTAATCATTCCAAAAGAAAAAGAACCAACTAGAAGCAAAGAAAAAAAGAGCGCAAAAATTTGGATGGAATTAGCGGGAATGATGGGAATGTATAGTCGTGTGTGTATGTGCATTTATCTATATGTTTATGAATGTTTGTATATTTACATGTATATATGTGTTAGAAAATAAAGAGTCCATTCTTTCAGATTTTGTTGTTTTTTTTTTTTTAATTTGAAAGTTTTCTTTAATCTGATTTTTATCGTAATGAGTTTTTACATTTTCCTTTTGTCTCCTTTCGTTCTTTTATATGTTTATCCGTTTATTTCATATCTATGTACCTATCTGCCTGTCTATCCCTTACTTCGTCTCTGTCTATTTATGACTCTCTCTATCTCTATCTCTCTCCCTCTCTGATTCTCCATCTTTCACTTTCTCTTTGTCTCTATCTCTGACCATTTCTCTCTCTGTCTTTGATTCCCTCTCCCTCCCTCTCTTCCTCCCTCCCTCTCTTCCTTCCTCCCTCCCTTTCTCTCTCTCTCTCTCTATATATATATATATATATATGTGTGTGTTTGTATATGTGTGCGTGTATGGGCCGGAGTTATGTATTGATGAATGAAATTTCGCTAGAGGTGACATTTCATTCGAAACAATTCAATGAAACGAATAACTCTAGAAGATTATTTGTCCAAATTCATTTGTTGGTTGAAGCGTTTAATTCAAATGAAAAAATTCCATAAGAAAGATAAACGAATAAACAAAATGAATTCGAAAACATGCTAAACTTATTGTAACATCTACATATGCATATGCATATTTTAAAACTATTTACCTTCAAACATGCAAATGAAGGCCAATATTTACTGAACAAATGAATATATATTTGATTAAGAAACTGAAAAAAAGAAATTGGTTTTGTTCGTATGTCGAGCAGCAAAATTTTAGAACGATGAAATTAGATATCATTTTGCATTGGTCTTTTATGAAGAAATAAATATATTTTTAAAAAATCCGATAAGGTATAAAATAAATATAAAAGTCAACAATAGGCAGTATTTCACGATATATAAGCACACATCTTGAAATATCAATTTTAGTATCTTTGCGTGAAAGCAAATGTTTTTTTGTTTTTTTTTAAAAAAGGATAGGACATATTCCCATGGAAACCGAGTCACTTGAAATATTGGGGAAATGTTAAATACCCCTACTGGGCAATGTCATTGAATATCTACTGTGTGTGTGTGTCAATGAATTAAGACATTTAAAGAATTTAAAAATCACATTATTGTCAATTCTTTCAAGTAATGCCCTATAGATGATAATGAAGATGAAAATCTTTTCGAATTTGTTTTTGATTTCTTCAGTTAAAACAGTGATTCTCAAACAAGTGGCACTTTCTTCCCCGAAATGAATTTCGAATCTAAGTTGAAGAAATTTATCCAGAAAAAGTAATGGATATTAAATCAAATCAAATTTTTAACAACCATTAAAATAAGGAATTCTTTATTCTTTTCATTAAAGTTACGTGATCGAATAGTTAAAGTGTGTTGCGTTCCAACAATGAGACTCGTATTCAAGTGTCATCATGATCTATTTGTAAAGCAGATGACTTCTTAATAATATCGGCACCATTGACAATCAGGCCCCGAGTTGCTTCAAGTCTCGTTGGTGAAATTGGGTAGAAGTGATTGTATGGTGCCACAACACAAAACATGCTAGCACAAAATCACAAGTTAGAGATAGAAGCTCTTTCGCCTTGGCTTGGCAATCTATCTAGTGATGGTGATTCAATAAAAAAAACACTCATCTCTCAGCAGCCTGAACCCTTGGGGTGGGGGATGTATAGCCCTAAGATCTCACACTGATTGAAATTCTTTAAAAAAAAAAAAATAAACGAAACTAGGTCACGTGAGTTGCAGTCAACTTCATACAGAAATGACCCATCCTGATGATTTGGTTTCAAGTAATAAAGCAGCTTTGCTTTCATAAATTGTTTCTATAATTTCCAATTTAAACTTATAATACATATAAACATTGAACAGTGAAAACAGTGAGCTGACAATTTAAATTGTAGGCGAAATTAAGATTACAAGGGGATTACAAGGGGATTAAGAAAACCTTAAATTAATCGGGGGAAATGCAATTTGTAATTCTTAGAATCACTGCATTCAACTGTTCGAAGAATTTCGACATTTTTATATTATAATAAAAGTAATAAAAATATCTTCATTTTTAGTAGATGAAACATTGTCAACCATCATTAATTTTGGACCTGCTATCTTTTAATATTAATTTTAGTTGTTTTTGTTAAGAACAAGTAAATCAGCAGTCAGACATCCCGAGGTAAAAAAAAAACCTATGAAGTCGAGTCAGTCAGGAGCTAAATCTTTGTTTCCGATTTGTTTACTCACTGGCAGTCTCAGTAAGTCACGACAAAGACAAGCAGAAATAAAAATGAAAAAATATGAGTCAAAAATTCATAAGCGTTTCTAATGATTCATCTAAAAAAAATCAGATATTAAAAATAATATAGCATGTAAAAAAAAACAAATGATAATGAGTCAAAAATGTTTACTTGGTTTAATTTAAATTACTCGGAGTTGCAGAGAAAATGACGTACAAATTATTTTTCATGTTCTTATGTTTACTATTATGTTTATTATTATAAGGTAAACATTAAAGGTGAATTTACACGGAGAATTCCGTTAAATAACTATGTGAATTATTTTGTAAGATGATATAACTGTCACGGGATAAAATAATCTCACAATCCTAGCGATAATCTGTCGTGTGTATAAAACACAGGATTATTGCATTGATGTCAACTGGAAACATTGTTTGAGGTCGTCGATTGAATCGAGAAGAGAGATGCCCAACAAAATAGCGGAAGTCAAGATTAATAATGCAATCACTTGCGTTCAAAAGATCAGCAATGAGAATTATTAATTTCCGACAACGTGACTGGTTAGAGTCTCTCTTCACGCCTTCAGCTTGGTCTGTTCTGCGACATTCGAAGCCTTGTCGAAGCGCCCCACGTTCCACCATTGCTACAATGCCTGAATACAGGTCATCTGATTGGATAAAAAAACGAAACAAATTACATTCCTGGCTCCTCACTTGTTGTCCTTGTTGTAATTATTGTTGTCCTCTTTTAAATTGTCAACTTTCGCCTATTCACTGTTGCCCTGTGAAACGCTAGGTGGCGCTGTGTACATAGAAATATGTGACAGAAGAAAGTGAAAGAATTGTAATGGAGTGGGTGACGTGAAAGAAAGAAAGAAAGAAAAGAAAGAAAGAAAACAAAGGGGAATGAGGAAAAATAAGGAGGCAAAAGAGATGAAGTAAGAGGATACTATTAAGATAGGTTGGTGATAAAGAGAAAAAGCAGAGAGAAAGAAGCGGATATCGAGGATGAGGTATGGGGGAGGAGAAAAAAAAAGAAGAGAATGCAGGTGAAAATGGAGGGAGAAGGCGATGAAGATTTTGATTAGTTTTACATTTTATTTTTATTATTTTATTTTTTTATCGCGTCGTTATATTCTACGACCGTTAGAAAAACAACATGAATCAGAAACGAGAAAACTAGTTTAATTATCTTCGGAGCCCATCTGATATGGATGTTGCTTTACCTACTATGGAGCTTAAACTGCACAGCAGATTGAAGCTTTACAACCATACAGATGTGACATATTCCAACCGATTTTTCATGCCGTAATATTTGTCTCCTCCTGAATAGGATTAGTTGTAATAATTTTTAGAGACCGTTTGACATGGATGAGTATAGATTTAACCGAGTCATGCTCTTCGGGATCAATTCAGTATAGACGATGTCAAACAGATTCCGATGATATTGGATGTGAATTCAACTCTTGTGTCTTTTATATTTCCAATTCACTCACCTTAATTTTACTGGTCGGGGATGATTGTAATTAAAAGCAACACGTGCTACTTATATGACTATGGTACGTCTCCTCAAATTACTAGTTCATTTCTAAGTATCCACGCTACGCCATTATTTGGAGAGCGTCAACTGTTTTTTGGAGAGCGTCAACTGTTTTTTACTTCCTCATCCAATCATGACACAAGTGTTTTTAGAAGGCCCCAACATTGCCAACAGAAAAGACCTTTAATGAGTGTGGTTTGTTTGGCATAACAATAGCTTCAATTATTTATAATCTTTCTTTGCAGTGTGTGCTGTATAGTATTTTGCTATTATATCCTATTTGTCGTATGTTAATAGTTGTATTTTGGTTGTTTATCATATGACGATCGGTATGTTTACGAATTTCCCTGAGTTTGACAGGTTAATCTAAGATAGAGTGTGATGCATATATGGTCATAACGATATATGTCCTTGATAAATACATAAACAGATCATCTAAAATATTATGATCAGTGAAATATGCCAATAAAGACAAACACAAATGCAGGTGCCAGGGTAAGAGATATACAAACAGATGATCGAACTCACGTACTTCAAGTGAGGAATTTGGGCCAAGAAGAAATATTTCAGCATTGTAGCGAAAAGATA